CATAGGCCCAGTGGGGACCCTTCCTCCGTTCCTGTCTCACAGGAAGACCTTGAGAAGTGCCACCCGGGTGAGCCAGCTCAGCCAAAGCCAGGGTTCCAGGGGGCCTGCTGGGGTCAGAGGTGACCTTCTTGGAAAAGAACAAGCAGAATACAGAGGCCCGGAGCTGAATGCCGCCCTTCTGTGAACTAAGCTTCATGAGTCACGCACTGTCTGCTTTCACGTGGCGTGAGACGGTTGTGTGGCCGCAAATGAGACCAGGTGGCCCTCCCAACAGAAACGTGTCCCCCTGCTCTCCACAGCGCAAATCCTGAGGGGTCCCCATCCTGGAGCCCCCTATAGACAGACTCAAAGTCAGCAGACAAGTCATTTGCAGCACAACTCCTCTGCAGGCCTGCGGGGACTCCATGTGCGCCTGTGACCTGAATCTGCGATCCAGCCCCCAGTCCACAGACAAGGGTGCTCTCAGGGTGGTCCTGCCAGGCCTCAGCAATGCCTCTCCCTCATCCACTCTACTCCTCTGCAATGGGGCCCCCCCTTCATCCTTGGGGGACACCGAGCCTGCTCGGTGCACAAAAGCGGTGGAGACAGTCCCCAATGCGAGTGTCCAGGGACAAACATGGAGAGGCCCCTGAGGGGACCATTGCCGAGCCAGAGCATCACCATCAAAGAGCCAGGAGAAGCCAGCCCCTGCCCCCCCAGCTCTTCCCCACTTCGGGAGGAGTCCCTGGGTGGTGCCTGTGGCCCAGGGCCCAGGGCCCAGCTCCTAGCAGCGCCTTGGAGGGCAGGCCTGCCTCCTGGCTTCATCCAGACCCGATCTTCCTGCCAGTGGGACCCACTGCTCCCGCTTCTCTCTTGCCCGGCATGCTTGCCCGTCTCTGGGTCTCTGTAGCTCCTGAGGCTGCCCAGAGGCAAGGGGGTTTCACCCCCATCTGGCACTGCTGCAGCCACCTTCCCCTATCGGAGGAAGCCCCGTTCCCCAAGGGGATCTGAGCCACCGGGCAGGGTTAGGATGCCAACACAGCCCAGTCCATTGGGGTGTGGGACTGCAGAGCCTGGGGTGTGGGACCCACCCAAACCCATGGGAGTCCCTGCTTCCACCAGCTACATGAGCTTCCATCTCCTCGCTCTCCAGCCCACCTTCTGGGAGACCAGCTGTCCTAGTGGGGGCTCTGTCTCACAGTGGCTGACCGGTGGGTCTCAGCACAGCGTGGCCATCACTGAGCACACACAGGGTCACACGCAGCTGCGCTTTGGGAAGTGGGTTGCCAGGCCTTTCTCTCAAGTGCCTCTGAATTTCCAGCTTCCCAGGCAGGGGGCCATGCACGGTCACGGCACCACCTAGGGGCTCCAGCTCTGAGCGCTGGGGGCGGGCATCCTGCATCACTTCTCATGACAGCAAATCAACTACAACGCTCTCCATACAAACGCCCCAAAGTCCCGCCAATCCCGCCAGCCCGGCCTCACCCCAGGAACGGGCTGACCAGCTGCAGGAGCTCAGTGCCAGACACCAGCTCCTGGTTGAAGAGTGCGATGCAGCGGAGGAAATTCTCGTAGACCTCCTGGCTCTTCAGGACGCGGCGCACCTGCGGGAGCACGCCTCAGAGCCTGCCCGGTACCCCCACCCACCCCCGCCCTCCTGTGCCCCCGCCCCCCTGCAGCCAACTGTGGTCTGGGGCACGGCTGGGGGTGCTCATCTTCCTGCCCACTGACCACTTGGGCAGTGGGGGTCATGAAAAGTCCTGCAGATACCGATGGTCCCCAGCTCCTGCACTGCACTCTGTGTGGCTGCCTGGCCTGAGCATGGTGAGGGTGGCACAGCCCCTGAAGCACCAGCTCAGGAGGACATCACCGGTCCTCAAGACAGACCCCAGGGAGGGCCAGGTCCTCACCTTGTCGAAGAAGGAGAATTCCTGCAGGGTGCCGTACTTGCCCACGGCCGCGACCGACAGGTCCTTGGTCCCACGGAGCTTCATCTTCTTCTGCGATGAGAACCGGAGTCGCCCTCTGCTCCCCTGGTGCCCCTGTGCCAACAGGCGCACACCCAGCAAGGCAGCCAGGGCCCTGCAGGTGGCCTGGTCCCAGGACCACCAGGGGATGTGCTTCAAGGGGCCCCCCAGTGACTGTGCAGTGACCCTCATTATGTAGACTGGAACCCCCACAACTGTGCACTGTGCCTCACTATGAGGGCTGGGACCCTTCAAACTGCAGTGCCTCAGCCCGTCCCCAGCCTATAGGACGGTGGACCAGAGCCCAGTGGATGCTCATTTTGCCCCTCAGATCCACTATCCCCACCCCCTTCCCCTGCCCCTGGTGCTGCCGCTACAAGCAGCCGCCTCTCCTTCTGCCTTAGGAGAACCCTCCGGCCTTCTCCATTTTCTGTCCTCGCCTCTGGGTGTGGTGGTCCCTGCAGGGTGAGGGACTGATGTGCTGACACTGTGCCCAAACACATGGCAGTCTGCCACCGGGATCCTAGGTGGTCAATGCCCTTCTCCTCTCACGCCACCATCTCATGAGGGAGGGGCACTGAGTGGCCACTTAGCCAGGGAACCTGAGGCCAGGCCAGAGAGGCTTTAAGTGAGGTCTACGGCAGCGGAGGAGGGGCAGCAGGGGGCCTGTGTCTGTGCCCAAAGGATGTCTGTCTGCCTACCTTGGCTGGCCCAGACACGGGGCGGAGCAGTGAGGGCCGGGCACGCTTCTTGCTGTGTTCTGGAATCTTCTCAGGCTCACCCTTTGGGGTGCTATTCATGCCGCAGGGCCCGTTTCCTGTGAACTGATCACAGACAAGGGCTCAGCGGCCAGGACTCTCCGGAGCGAGCGTGGTAGCGCCAGGTCCTGGTGGAGTGGGTCCAGAACGAGGGACCATCCAGGAACTGTCAGGTGAATGAGCATGTCGGACGGAGGAACACACAGCCAGAGGGCTCCTCAGAAGCGTGAAGACGTGCGATTCTCACTTTCTGACTCTGGGTCCGGCATCGGAAAAGACTGATCTCCAGAAAAGGGCTTCACGCCTAGTCAAGGAAGTCTGTGAAGACGAGGGGGACAACCCCATAGCCAGGCCAACGGACCGAAAGACACCAACAGTCCTGAGGATGACGCAGGCCCGGGAGTTATGCACCGGGCCACCGGAGTCAGAGGCGCCCAAATCCCACAGCTCAGGCCACACTCCCTCCACAGAGAGGGAACCCCAACCCCCTCCCCAAGATCGGAACAAGGTGGGGGGCTGCCTCCTACCACTGCGACTCACCATCACCTGGAAGGCCAGCCAGCAGGCAGAAAGGATGGCAGACAGGTGACTCTCTTTTTGCAAACGGTACGGCCTTAGATTTAGAAAGCCCTAAAAACCTGGCATCGTGAAGGAGCTCGTCTTGCTCGGATCCACGATCCATGCTTGTGGTGGCAGCATCAAGATCAAACGATGCACTGCGCTGAGTACATCTGCTGCCCAAGACCCCTTGAGTGTTGAGGAGCAAGCATGTCACTTGAGGACTGAGATGTGCCTGACCCAAGCCATGGTACTTTCCATGGCCTCCTACGGCATTACGGCTTATGAACTTCCTTAATAGACTCCCATCGAGTCAATGCTATCTCACAGCCAGCCCCCGCAGGCTTCTGAGACGGCCGCTGTTTACCGGAGTTGAAAGCCCACATTTCTCCCGTGGAGCTGCTGGTGGTTTTGAACTGCTGGCCACATGATGATTGCAGGCCAACGTGTGTTCACCTGTACACCACCAGGGCTCCTACCACCTCCTTAATAAGCCTTTTAACCACAGATTTCATCTCGCTGTCAGTGTAGGGACAGTAGAACCCAAAGCACTGAAACAGAGAACATTCACGACGACATGTCAAGAGTCTAAGATCGAATCCATGTCACTGAACGACATGTGTCAAAGCTGTTAAAAAAACGTATAATGACAAAATAAAATGTAAAGGGACATGTCGCGTCAGTGGAGCAGGGCTCCCGTTAAGGTGTGGATGAACCCTACACCCTGAAGCTAAGTGAGAGGCCAGCACAAAAGGCCCGAGGCGCTGGCTCCAGGGTGGGACAGGGCTGCCCAGACAGGATGGAGACCTGGGGCAGGCCAGGGCAGGGAGGAGGGGTGTGTGTGCAGTGACTGCTAACAGGCACTAGGGGGACGGGGGGTGGGTGGGTGGGGGTGGGGGGGTCCTCCGGAGCTGAGAACATTCTGGAACAAGTGGTACCCACACAACACTATGAGTTCCTTTAAGACCAAAATTTATTCACTTCACAACAGCTAATTTTATGTTACATAAAAAACTTTAAAACCCCAGTTCACAGGAAAGGAAAGACGGAGTGCGGGGGGTGCAGCAGCTGGGGCCCTGAGGAGGTGGGCTGGGGGTGGGGATACAAAGGAGCAGTGCCTTGACCAGGCCCTTCTCACTCACCTCACAGCTCCCCCCCGACCGACCCCTCCAGCCCTAACCTGCTGGAGCCCTGGCCTGACCGCCCTCCTGTGTACCTCCTAGCCCTGCTCAAAGGTCACCGGCAGGTTGGGGGGCTCAGGGCTCTGAAGGCCTGGCCTCCCTGCTGCAGGGCAGTCAGCTCGGGGAGCCTTTGGCCTGGGGGCCAGGCCCCACACTCACCAGGGACCGCTTTGCCTCGGGCAGGAACTGGCCAAACTCGGAGAGCAGGTCCTCCTGGCCCCTGAAGAGGTTGGCCACCTCGGTGAAAACCTCCTCCTCGGACATGCCGCGGAATGGCCGGCCTTTCGTGCTCAGCTGCTCCTTCTGCTTGGCGGGGAGGGGACATGAGGTCAGCACAGGACGGCAGAGCACAGAACACAGAGGGTCCCCCTGTGCCACTGTTCCCCTCAAAGCGCCTAGGCCTCAGGTCTTGGTCACGATCCCGGGCCGCCGTGTCTTCTCTGCTCCCCAGCATGCCTAGGGGTTCATGCACGAGCACAGGGTCGGGCAGCATGGGGTCCCTCGAGCCGGCTGAACAGGGTGGGTAGCACTTTCCGCTTGTGGGGAGGGCCCTGGGGCACGGAGAGGGAGCAAGGAGAACAATTGCAGGGGACCTAGCCCAGTGAGAGGGCATCAGGCAGCCGCTGATGCGGTCTGGGTCAGTGTGCCAGCCAGCCAGCCAGTGATGGAGCTGGGGTCAGGGTGGAGGGGCCTCGGCCAGTTCCTTATTTCACATCCCAGGGCTACCCAGTGCAGCCTCAGAGGATGCCCTCCCGTACCATGTCGGGAAGGATGAGCTAGGGTTGAAATCCTACTGGTACCAGTGAACTCTCTTTGAACTCACTGTAACAGTGCCGCGACTCGCAGGGCCCCTCCAAGACAGCCCAGAACAGCCCTTGTGGGTGTCTGAGACTTTAACTCTTCCAGGAGTAACCGCCTCATCTTTCTCCCGAAGAGCAGCTCCCTGTGCGCCCCGCTCCCCCACCAGTGAAGCTCTGCCTTTCTCCCGCTGAGCTGCTGGGGGTTTTGAACTGCCGACCATTTGGGTGGCAGCCCAACACGTAACCAACACACCACCAGCATGCCTGATTTCGGGGGGGAAGAGATCAGTTGCCCTCCCAGGAGTCACTGGAATGCTTGAAAGCCAAACAAGGAAGCGCAGCTGCTCCGTGGGGAGCAGACACATGCTTGTCAACTAGAGCTGGCGCCCGCAGTTGCAATGGCTGTTTTCTCCAGAAGGAGATTGCCAGGCCTTTCTTCCAAGGCACTTCTGGGAAAGCTTCGCCCTCCATCCTTTCCGTTAAGTACACTAAATGGGCAAGAAGGAGGTAGGACCAGTGCTACTGTGCATGGTGGCCACACCGGTCCCTGCCGGGGTGATGACACTCTAGGAGGTGCCGACGTTAGACATGAGACATAGTGGCGGCTTGGTGGGAGAACCTCGTACCACACAGGAGCCCTAGGCTTAACTCCCAGATAACATGCCCCAAGCTCAGCTCACCACCTGTCAGTGGAGGCTCAGCTGCTCTTAGGATGCTGAACAGGTTTCAAGGGAGCTTCCAGACTGAGGAGAACTAGAAAGGAAGGCCTGGCCACCGACTTCTGAAAATCAGCTCAGGAAAACTGTATGAAACACAATGGCCTAATGGGTCCAAGGTCAATTACAGGGAGAGTGCAGGACAGGACAGAGCTTCGCTCCATGGCCAACAATGAGGGCAGGGACAGCGTTTCCTCCTCCTGCTCTCTAATACAGAGCTCCTCAGGGACAAAGGAGAATCAGGACACGAGGGGATTTCACACAACCTCCAGCAACAAGACAAGGCAATCTGGAGGTGTTTAGCACCCCTGGCACCAGCGGCTCCCACCTGGTACGTGTGCAGGATCTCCAGGAATGAGCGGTAGATCTCCGGGTGGTCCAGGAAGCGGGTCTTGATCTTGTTCACGTAGCTGATGGCGTTGTTGAACTCCACGGAGTCTGACTCCAGGGGCACTTGGGGCTTGTCCTCCTTGTACAGTACTTGCTGCCTGAAGGAGTCCGAGTAGTCGCTGTGGTTGTGCGAGTTCTCCTGGGAGGAAAGAGACAAGTCACGGCCGGACCAGGGACACTGGGGACAGAGAGGAAAACTGCGAGGCCAGCCACCGCACGAGGACAGAGAAGAGCTTTTCCTGGACAGCCAGGGCTCCGGAGATGCTTCTGGGACCTGAAGAGCACTGGGTGCCCACACAACCGCCCTCCCCTGCACTCTGAGTCCCTGTGCGCCCCTGGGAAGCAAGCCCCCCTCAGTTCCCCCACCAGCTCCTTCCTCAGCAACGGAAAGGGCGGGGACCGCGTAACTAACGAGGAGCTTCCGAAGCCCAGCACTCAGAAAGCAAGCACACGAAGGGGCTGTGGATGCCTTTCCGGAGCTGCGGCTGAGCGGCCTAGAAACAAGCCTCCTGGCCGTTTGAGATCCCACCTCAGAGGCTGGAATGTGGGTGGGAAAGCCCCTGCTCCCAGTTCAAATGATGGCAGGCCCCGAGTGGCTTAAACGGGGAGCACACTTACCTCTGTGGAAAGGCTTGGTGATGTCCTCCCTCAAACCAGTCACTGACCGAGCTAAGGGGCGCAGCTGTACCCTGATACACATGGGGTCACCCCAAGCTGGGAGTGACTCGTGGCAACTGGTTTGTTATACAGTGCTGATGGGGGGTGGGGGGTTCAACCCATCATCCAGGCTGCCTGGAACCACAAGGGCTCCGAAGACATGGGGCTTCTGAGTGCTGACCCTGGGCCCACTGGGAGGAGGTGGTCATCTTAAAGGACAGAGCAGAAGTCTGCCACTTGAGCGCCCAGGCCGGTGCTCTGCCTGTGCGCTGTCCTGTCAGTCAAGTCTGACTCCGGCCCGGGTGAGCGGAACAGGACTCCTCTGTGAGCTTTCAGGGCTTGGCTTCTCAGACGCAGATGGGCCAGCCTTTCTTCCAGCGTATCTCCAGGGAGACGCATACCACCCACCCAGAGACCCCCTCTGATCCCCACTAATAAAAACAGAACAAGTGCCTTTTCCTGTGTGCTAGGAGTTCCAACTCGAGCCAGGGCAGGCCTACAGACGGCCCTGCACGTCTCTGACCTGAAACGGTGGCCACGAGTCTCCCCTGACAGGTTAGACTGTACTGTCCCCAGTGCCCGGTCCCCAGAGTCCTGGCCCCTCCCAGCTTAGCCTTGCTCAAGGCCATCTTCTCTGTGAGCCTTCCTGCACGTCCTGAGTCAAAGCACATGATCTGCCCTGCCAGCCTCCGTGCTCAGGAGGGAGGCCCTTTACCAGTGCATCTGCTGCCTGCCCCCACCCATGAGAAGGTCAGCCGGCGACCTGCCGGCGATCTGCTAGCGGGCCTGAGCTGCGAGATCTGCGCCTCGGCCCCGATGCCAGCCCGTGATGCAGGGCTCTGCACCAACTGGCCGTCTGGGTGGTTTTTGTGGCCCCTCTGAACAGTCTGAGCCATGGAGGTAGAGAGACAGAGACCCCCAGCAACCGAAACACCCTGCCATTTCTCCTCAGTGGGGGGCTGCCCCAGACTGGGGGGGCTGCTCTTGCTGACCCCTGCTTAGCATCTCAGACTCCTGGGGCTGTGACCTGACGTGCACATGTCTGGGGGTTGGGGCGCTGTGTAAGGGGAGGAGGTGCCTGCTGATCAGCGTCACATCTTGGCCGGCTGTTCCCTCTGGGGGCCGCCCCTCCCCACATCTGGTGGCAGTCCTGGTGTCCTTTCAGCCTGCGTCCCCTTGTACTGTCTTCCCCGGGTGACTACTGTGACTGCAGTCTCCCCGGCACACCACCTCTCCAAGGGCAAGGTTGACAGCACTGGGACGAACCAGGGCCAACCCGGCTCGGTCACCTTCACAGGTGCAGGGGGCTACGCTGTAGATGAATGTTTTGGTCTCCCCACAGGACTCGGAGACTCTAGGGGTCTGCACTTCAGTGCACACAGGTCTGCGGTAGGGGTGGTGTGTGTGTGTGTGTGTGTGTGTAGTGCAGGGAAAGGGGTTGCACTTCAGGGCACACAGGTCTGCGGTAGGGGTGGTGTGTGTGTGTGTGTGTGTGTGTGTGTGTAGTGCAGGGAAAGGGGTTGCACTTCAGGGCACACAGGTCTGCAGTGGGGGTGGGGGGTGAGTGTGTGTGGTGCAGGGAAAGGGTTGCTTCAGAACCAACTTGGCTTAACAGACAGCTCCTTCTCTGCCCCTACCCTCCTCCCTGGAGTGGCGGGGGCGGCTTAGCACAAGTACGCCACAGTGACAAGACAGAGAAACTCCCCACGCCGCCCTAGCCGGACAGTTGCCTGCTCAGCCCCCAGAGGGAACAGCACAGCTGAGATCCAGTGCCAAGAGACAAGCACGTCCTGTTCTTAGACAGGCTCCTCCACTCCACCCCCACCCTCCACCAGCGTGGCTTCAGTTCACGCGCAGCCCGGGGGCTGAGACATGAAGCAAGGGGGTCAGCAAGAGCTGCCCCTACCCTAGGCCAAGGTACACCCCTGGGTGAGGAGAAATGGCAGGGGATTTTGGCTGCTTGGGGGATCACCCTGCCTTCTCTGAAACAGGCAGAGTGAAGATGTGCCGGCTGCAGCAGGCACTCGGAACCACAGACACCAGACGACTCCACACAGGCCGCCTGCCCGCCAGCACAGCGGCCCGTGTGGGGCTGAGGCGGTGGAGACCCGGCCGCCTTGTCCCTGGTGGGGGGACCAACAAGCCCGACACCCGCCTGGAGCAGCGCCAGGGGCTTCCTCACACTCACACGGCAACCAGCTGGACAGAGTGGCTCCCCTCCTGGCGGCCCACCTGAGGGCCGGAGCACGGGGCCCAAACATGACTGTGCAGCCCCCATAGGGCCACAGGGGCCCAAAGCCCAGGGTGGATGACACACCACCCTGGCCAGGCAGGGGACGCGCTTTGAACCCTGATGCTCAGTGTAAGAATCCAGTCCCAAAGGGACACTGAGCCCACCTACACGCGGGACTGCGAGTGGGCACGTGATGAGACCTAGGCCAAGCTGTGGCGAGCAAGGCCTGAGAGGAGGGGCCAGGGTGCGGCTCTGGGGAACGGCGCAAACGCACTGGGCCCTTTACAAAGGCCACCGCAGTGGACGGGGTCCTTCTTGTCTCCGGGACAAGCTGTGTTTTCATGGATCCATAAGAAACGTCATGCCCCACAACATTTGGCCAGCACGGGCCGTGGGCTGTCATTTGCCAAACCCTCCCTCAACTTTCCACCCCAGCCCACCTTTTTCCTCTCTCACTGCACCCTCTCACCACCGCTGCCCACCCCCTGCTGACCACTCAGGGCCTCCCTGGGCCCCCCACCTCCTGCCTCATGGCCCCTAGCCCTCTGGCCCTTCCCTGTCCTCCGCAGTATACCTGCCCTTGGCGCCCCTGAGGCTATTCACAGAGCCGGCCCCTAAGCTCCCACACGCCTTTCCAATCTGCTCACCTGCTCCCCAGCCGAGCACCCACTTGGCCCAATGGAGCCTGGCACCCCCTGCTCTGCCAGGGGCAGACTTACGAGCTGAGGACCTGACAGAATTTCCAAATGACTTGTGCCCGAGAGAAGGTGCTGGGCCTCATCTCAAAGGTCACAGTTGAGTTGATTCCTGCTCATGGCCCCCAAAGGTTAGTGGTTTGAAGCCACCAAGGGAGAAGGGCCTGGTGATGAGCACCTGGAGATTATAGCCAAGAAAACCCCCTATAGCAAGCCCACCTCGCCACACCTGGCCCGTCAACCCCGCCAGCTGTGAGCTGGGGGTGTGAGCTGCAGGGGAGTCGCCCTGACGGCTGGTGACACCGTGCGGGCAGGGCAGAAGTGCCCCGTACAATTTTCAAGGCCGTGACCTTTTGGAAGCAGGTGGCCTGTTTAAACAGCACCCTCAGCGGTGTCCACGCAGAGGCTGGTGGGTGGCTCTGGGAGGTGCAGAGGATCCAGAAGCAGAGAGTTGCCCCTTTGCCGATGGCCCACGCACACAGGAGGAGGGGACTTGCCCTCTATTTCCTGCTCTCAGGACAGATGGGGGGAGGACCAGGGTAAGGGGGGCTCTCGAGAGGTGACAGTAACCATGCCCTTTTGTGACCCAATCCAATGCGACACAGGCGAGGTCCCCAAACTCCCCTGCCCCCACCACAGCCCCAACAAGAGGTGAGCCCTGCCCCCAGCCTCTGCTGGCACCACTGCTCACACACAGCACACTGACTGACTGACTGTCTTCCCAGATGCACCAGACCAGGGCCAATGTGCCCCATGGGACACTGGGCGACATTTGGAAACATTTGGGGTCGTCATCACAGGGGCTCCCGCAATGAGCTGATCAAGGAAGCTACTCAACACCCGACTGGGCACAGGCCAGCCCCTCAGAGAGGGGTCCACAACAGACATGGCCACGCCCCTCAGAAGCTGGGCCTGTCTCCTCAGTAGTCGATGGTTTAAGAAACCAAACCAAACCCAAACTCTGCTTCAGAACGGTCATACCAGCAAGCCCAGTACGGGTGGGCGTCACAGGAGTCCAGGGGGCCGTGGACTGGGGGAGGAGGGGACTCTCAGAGACTGGAAGGCCACCTGGCTATGCTGCAGGGCCCCAACCTGCCCCTGCTACTGGGAGGGAGAAGCGGCGCCCGGCTAGAAAAGGCGGTGGAGGGAGGATGGCCAGCTTTGCTTCAGCAGCTCTCTGAACACACTTCTCCCGTCAGAGGACTGCGCTCTTTGTCCCCTGGGGCTGCTGAAACAGAAACACCACAAGTGGACAGCGGTTCATTTTCCCAAAGTCCGGAGGCCAGAAGTCTCCACTGGGGCAGCTCGGAGAGAAGGGCTCTCCTCAGGGTTCCTCGTCAGTGCAGGCTGGCTCTGGTCTAAGCCGCTCTTTCTAGTCCCACGGGGGTCTGGGTCACAGGTGGAGGGATGAAGTGTCTGTCAGGGACTTTAGGGGCACAAGTCACCCGGTCGAGACCATCACTACTGCTGCAGCGTCTTCTCCTGAGCCCACTCTGGGTCCCTGCGCCCAGGGGCTCGCTCAGTCAGCAGGTCAGGTTGCGGAAGCTCCGGGGCTGGGAGAGCATTGTGCTCACCAGCTCTGGCTCTTTCATGGCAAATGAGATGCTGCCGGCGCTATGTGCCACTGAGTGAACTCTGACTCCCAGCAATCCCAGGGGACAGAATAGAACTGTCTTACAGGGCATTCTGGGCTGTAATCTTTCTGAAAGCACAGGGCCAGGCCGTTTCTCACCTCTGAACGCACGGCTCTCCAAGACCAGGTCAAATGCCTCTTTGGGTTTCCAACTCCTTACAGGTACAGAAAGCCTCACCTTTCTTGCAAGGAGTGGCTTATGGGCTCAAACTGCTGACCTTACAGCTAGCGGCCCAACTTGTAACCCACAATCCTACCAGGCTGACGACCCCACCTGGGCTCCTTCTGCATTGCCCAGGGGACTTGGGGTGACCCTGCAGTGGCAGGGCAGGACTGTGCCACGGCTTTCCTTGATGCCAGTCACACCCACGACCTGAACTGCCTCCAGAGGATGTGCCCTGTGGGCATAACTACCCGTCAAGAGAACCACTGGTCCAGTCCCCCAGTTCCTCCATGCCGAGGTCCCCCCATCCTCCAGGATTAGCGCAAACAACACACGCCACCAAACCCAGACCAAGCTCCCCCTCCCCCACGCAGCAACACTGTAAGGCAGAGCAGACTGCCTGTGAGGCTGTGAGGCTGCCTTGCTTCACAGCAGCAGGAAGTCTCGTGCTGGCCCCTCAGAGGCGCTGCTGGGTTTGAACTGCTGACCTTGTTTGAGACTGGCAGCCCAACCTGTAACCCACTAGGCCAAACCAGTTGCTGGTCCATGTGCTACAGACAAGTTAGCATCTTGATGGAAGCAGATTACCAGGCCTCCTTCCTGGTGCCTCGGGGCAGGTGCCTGGATTAGGTTCCACCAGGGAGGCAGAGGCGACAAGCAGGAAAGTAAACACCAGTTGTGGAAGAAGCACAGTGGTGGGGCATCCTTCGATGGAGGGGGTCGCCCAGTGATATCCAAGTTGGGTGGGGGCGGGGCGGGTGGGAGGCAGGCTTTAGGGGTGTTCTCAATCTGTGTCACAACCCCTTTGGAGGTTGAACAACCCTTTCACAGGGGTCACCCAATTCATAACAGTAGCAAAATTCCAGTGATGAAGTAGCAATGAAAATAATGTTAGGGTTGGAAGGGGGTCTGCACAGCATGAGGAACTGTATGAAAGGGTTGCGGCCTGAGGAAGGTTGAGAACCACTGCTTTAGAAATCAGCAAGCATGGGAGCGGGGAGGGAGGGGAAAAATGAGGACCTAATGTCGGGGGTTTAAGTGGAGAGAAAATGCTTTGAGAATGATGCACAAATGCGCTTTACACAATTGATGTGTGTATGGATTGCGATAACAGTTGTATGAGCCCCTAATAAAATGTTTAAAAAATAAAAAAAATAAAACACTACCCACTTGGAAAAAAAAAAAAGGAATCAGCAAGCAAAGGGTCAGAGGCAGGTGCTGTGGGAGTGGCTGGCCTCCCTCTTTGGGGCAGCCGGCACCTTGTCTCCCCATGAGGAAAGGTCTGCTACCGACACGGGGTCCCACGAAGCCCAGGGCTCATCTCCACGTTCAAAGGGAACTGGAAGCAGCTGGGGGTTGGCTGCAAGGAGCCTCCATATCCCGCCTGCGCCCCTGGGCCCAGACGTGGGGCAACTGGGTCAGGGCTCATCTGCAGAAGCAGCGGGACGTGAGGGCTGGGTCCGTGTCGGGCAGAGCGACAGCGAAGCCCAAGGAGCCCTGCTGGGGTCAACAGTCACCGGCTTCGCTGCGCACCTGAAGGGCGGGTGGTCTGAACCCACCAGCCGCACCGCAGAAGAGAGGCCTAGCAATCTGCTTCTGTGACGATTACAGCAGAGACAACACCACAACCCAACTTGAGCCTGGAACCCCGGGGTCACCACGGGTCACCACAGGGAGAGGAGAGCAGCACGGCAAGGAGCTGACAGGAAGGGGCGGCGGAGGGAAAGGAAGCAGCTGCCTGTCACCAGAGAAGGGTGGTGGCCACGAAACGCGAGCCTGAGGGGTGGCTGTGAAAGGTCACCATGAAAACAGCTCTGTGCACCTTCATCTCACCCACGACGGCTCAGACACAAACGGGGGCCGCCTGCAACACCCCTAGGGAGAGCCCCCCGCCCAGATCTTTGCCAACACTGATGTCACTGTTACTGTTCACGTGTGTTTAAAAACTCAGGTAACCCCCAGGCTGGTTCTTGGCCGACAGCCAACACTGACACACAGTGACCCATAGGGTGTCTAAGCCTCTAGACCTCTTTATGGAAGCACACTGCCGCACCTTTTCTCCCGAGAAGCAGCCAATGAGCTTGAGCCTCCGTTCTTTCAGCTACCAAGGATTAGATAACACATTTGCTGACTCCTTGTTTTGCCTGAGTACAATTTGGTGGCACCGGTTCCACCAGTCCTGTTAGGCAACCATGACCACGACTCACTGCCGGGTTTTCTAGATCCTCATGGACAGAACCCCCTGCTTCCCCAGGCCTGGCAGGCTGTGATCTAGTCTGTCTTGTGTCGGAAACAGGGAGCGCTGCCTGGAAAGCTGCCGAGTCTAGCACATCCCTCCCAGGTCCCGGGACCCGGGCAAGAACACCCAGGAACTGAACCCTGCGGGGTTGGGCACAGGGCCTACCTGGCTGGTCAGTGGCGACTGTATGTTCAGCTTGCCATTCTTAGGGATGTCTATCCTGTACCCGAGAGGAAGGAATGCGTTGAATCCAACGATGAGGTCTGGGTGCTCGTGAAACAGCTGGGACACACGTCTGATGACTCCAGGGGTATCAATGCTGGAACAAAGAGGGGCGCACGTGGGCAGGAGGGTCTTGCAAAGTGCATTTTCCAGTTTCTGGACAGTGTCACCTAATGCTGACTGGCAACACAGGCGACACCGCATGGACTCCTCTGGGGCATGGTCTACCGCCAGTGTCAGTTGCCAGAGCGGCCAGGAAGGCGCCCCAGAGGTACACTGGCTAAGCACTCAGCTTTTAACCAGCGGTTCCTTGGAAGAGAGGCCTGGCAATCTTCCCCTGTAGAGACACAGGCAAGCAAACCCAGCATCCGGCTGTTCTACTATCACACGGGACCACAAGGAATCGGAATCGACCCGACATCAGACAACCACCAGCACAACCACCCTTGCCCCGAGCCTTGGGGCCTGGGCTCCCTGGCTCCTCCTGCTGAGAACTGCTTGGCATTTACCCCCCAAAGCTCTAGGAACCCATGCCAGGTGCGAGAGATGTCAACCCCCGAAAGCCAAAGCAGTTGTCATTGAGCTGAAGCCAGTTCATGGGAACCACCTTGTGTGTCAGAACAGAACTGTGCTCCAGAGGGTTACTCAATGTAAGCCAATCACCAGGCCCCTCAACCTCCAACCTTTGGTTACTGAAAGAGGGTGTAACTGTCAGTGCCACCTAGCAATTCCTGAAAATGTCAGAACCTTAGCATGCAAGCGCTGGACTCTCCCAGTGCATGAAATCCCTCCTTCTGTCTAACCCAGGACCAACCAGGACACAGGTTTTGATCTGCGGGAATGGATAGCAACGTATCAATAACAACCCCCACCCCCAAACTTGCTGTTAAGTCCGACTCATGGCGACACCGCACGTGATGAAGCCGAACTGCTCCACGGGGTTGTCTGAACTACACTAAGAGCCGGGGATCTGACGCGATAAAGATTACACCCCACCGCGGCAGCTCTACTGTCAGGTGGGAATCACACGAGGCAAAACCAACACCACGGGACCGGACCGCACACCGACACCAACACTCCTTATGGAGGCAGACGGCAGGCCTTGCTTCCACGGTGCAGAGTGGGTTCAAATCACTACCACCCTCTAGGTTAGTAGTCAAATGCAAACCGTTTGTGACACCCAGGGACCTTCGAAAGCAAGCCAGCTGGGCCACATCTCCTGAGAGGGGTCGGCCTGCGTCAAGCGGGAATTTATTTCATGGTTGGAGGTCTCAGTTCCAGTTCCATCTCTGCCCTATGGCCCCGAGACCCCACGCCTACAAAACGAGGGAAAAGTCTTCCAACACTGGCTGTGTCACTCAGACCCGCACTCAACACTGCAGACACTTCTTCGAGCAGGGCAGGGTTTCCGGGAATCAGGTGACACAAGGGAGGCCCTTCAACTGGGATGCAAAATTTCATGGGGAGGGACACCCAGACAACTCAGTCATCAATATTAATCAAGCCCCAGGCAAAACGTTCCTGGAGGAGGTAAAACTTTCGTGAAAAGCCCGCACATCGGAGCAAGGCTGGCCTGACCCTGCATTTGCCCTCCATCCCCAAGCCCCTATCGCCCGCCCACCAGCTCGCCTTCCCAGACTCCCACCGCAGCTCCACAAGGGGCCTCCAACCCCATTCCCAGTTTGCAGCCCACGAAGAAACGGAGGCTCCGGCAGCTTCAACGACCCTCGCAAGGTCACCTGGCTGAGGGGCTGCGGACGAGACGGGGGTCTCGCCCCCCAGCAGCCCGATTCGGCTCCAGGGCGGCCCCCGGGGGTGGGGAGGGGTCCCGCGGGTACCTCTGGCTTTTGAACTCCTTCATGATCTCCAGAAAGCCGTTGTAGGTGGCAGGGTCGCTGCCGAAACGGATTTTCACCTGGTCCAGGTAGGTGAGGGCGTCCTCCACCTGCCGGGGCGGGGAGGGTCCCGGGGGGCCAGGGTCAGAGGAGGAAGGGGACAGACGCGGGGGGTCCCTGTCGGGCACCCTGCGCGGGGCC